GTTATACCCCATAGGGAAGCCGACGGTATATATAGGAATGAACAGTGATAATAATGACAGCTGGGCCGATAAGGAAGGATTGAAACTGCTCATTAAAAATGGATTTAAATTGAAAGTTTGGACTCAATTAAACATTCAAACGTGTCAAGACATAAGAGAAGGGAAGAGAGAGTTGAGGAGATTAAGAAATGAAGTAGAGAGAGAGCAAGAACTAGAAGAACAGCATTATTGTAATATTTTATAATTAATTAGTCGACCATTACATAATTACATATCTTTTTTGATGAAGGTCAAACCACACCCACAATATCTATAATCATATTCATTACCAGTCCATAAAAGGTCACACCATTATGATGTTATATTATGTAATAGAGACAGTAAGTATAGGGAGTGTGAGCTGACAGCTGGAAAATGATGAAAATATTAAACACAATAATAATATGTGCTTGCTTATTGACTGATGCTACTTCTGAAAAAAGTAAGAAATGATATTTATTTTATTCATTTATTTGTTTAAAAGGTTATTATACTGTGGAGGAAGCAGCTGCTAAAGCATTCAAAGAGAAAATAAGTTTATTAAGAACCAACGAAGGAAAAGTACTCCAATAACCACCCACACAATTAATTAAACCTCCTCTAGATATACACAACATATAAAGATGCCATTCATCCTGAGATTATGTTCGTAAGTGATAACAAAGACCCAACACTGATCACTGAACTATGGATCACCTCCACTCCGTCCCACATGAGTACCAAGGCCCTTATCAACCACTTCAGGTCTCTACCAGTTAAACCCGACCTCCATATTGGTCGCATAGCAACCAGTGCTTTCAGTATGATGGCTCAGCACAGGGCACTGATGGAGCTAATTGAAAACGGGTTTAATGTTACCAGCTGGAGTGAACTACAGGTGCTGTATGCTAACAATATACAGAACAATAATAATGAGAAGACTAAGAATAGAGAGGATTTATAATCATTCATATTATAGTTATTAATAGTTATTGTGTTTTATTAATGAATAATCATAACCACTATCATATTACAATAACAGTTTGAACTGGGTGTGTCTATCTTTCTCTATCTTCTACAAACTATACTAACAGACGTATGGATGGAATCTGTTCAATCAAAAATCCCATTATAGCTGCTCTTTTCATGACCATGACCTTAATTTTATTTGCTTCTTTTAATCCTAATATTTTTCATAATTATCCCTTGCCAACCATTTGTATAATCCTCTTCATTATATCCATAGTCCTTTGTACCTGTCTATGTTGCCCTCAAAAGATACCATGTTATAATGTATACAAAAAATGTCAAAGGATCAGGCAAGTAAGTAAAAGTGACAGGAGTCTGTTTAGGAAAGTGACAGGAGTCTATGAAACATTTAGAAGACCAGTAGCTACTGGTAGCCGTTGTTCACTGGATGAAGCAGCTCATTATGCCTTCACTAACAGTGGGACACTACTGTATGCTAGAGGAACTATATACTGGAGTGAAGAATATAAACATGCTGAGGAAGTATTTATAGACATGACAAGAGATGAGGACATCAGGAATATAAAGATAATCTGGATCAAGAATTCACCCTGTTGCTGGTGTGCTGACAAACTTATTGAACACTTTTCTAAAAAATATAATAAACCAACTGTATACATTGGGAAGATATGGAGTGGAGCATATGGTGATGCTGACAGCAATAAAGAAGGACTGAGGAAGATGAAAAGAAATGGGTTTGAGCTGTTAGCTTGGAAGCATTATAAAAATAAAGATGAATATGAAACAAGAGAATACTTAAGGAACATTGACAGTTATTCATGCATTGTAAACTGACATTACAGCATGTATAGATATAAGAATAAATAAAGGGGACAACAATGAAACCCACTAATGAATAACACCACATGATTAGACAGTGAACCAAGTCCAACACTACACACTGATTGTATCCATACACTGATGATTATACAATATGAGAGGGTGGGACAGTTAGTTTAGACAGAGGGGAAGTCCGGGAAGATTGAAAAGGAAGATGGCTACCATAAGTGAAGAAGAAAAAGTAACAATAGGAGGAATAGTAATACTGATAGTCTGTGGCTGTCTCATTATCTATTGGACCTTCTTTCAAAAAAGAAATAAAAGAATCAAAAGAGAGTAAGTACAGCCACACTATAGACTGTATTAAGATTATACTAGGGATAGAGTGACCATGGGTAGAGAAGATGTGGTCAATGCGAGGGTCAATGAAGCATATAGGCCAAGGCCAGTCCCTACTGGTAGCCATTGTTCACTGGATGAAGCAGCTCATTATGCTTTCACTAACAGTGGGACACTACTGTATGCTAGAGAGAC